TCATGGAGTCACAAAACTGCATCAAGCTGTAATATTTTGATAATAGAACTTTGTGAAATAAGATAATCGCTATTGTTGCTTTCTCTTTTTACTTTATTAATGTAAAAACAGCCTGTGTTCAAAGAGAAGGAAAATATCTAAACAACATGGGAGGCTGGAAAGAGAAAATACAGAAAATAATACACTGCTGACTTTTCAATTACAATGTGTTTCATCAGAAACTTTTATTGCTTATGAAAGTACACAACCTGTGTATCTTTTTTATTTAAAATCAAGTAAACTTAATACTTATTCCTCCCAACTTGCTTTTTCAACTTACAGTGTATCATAGCTATTTTCTCTGTATATATTTATACATCTGCCTCATTGCAATAAATTATTATACCTTAATTTATTAGGTCAGACTCCAGTTTTTGCTATTATAAATATAGTTATCAATAACATTCTGATCAGTATGGCATTGTAAGCTCAGCTTTGAACTCTCTGTCTTCTCCAAACACAGAGAAAGTTTTATTTGTTTTTAAAGGACATGGTTGATTCAAAGATAAGAAAAATGTACCAGAAACGTAGCAGAAATTCTGATTAGACATTTTAGGCTAAAAAGTTCAGTCTTGCTAGGCTCAGAGTCTAGAAACAGGCAAAGCAGCCAAGATTTGAGTGCAGGGTAAGAGGAAAACAACGGCCCATTGTGAGAAAGGTAAATAATCCAGACAAGTGGGATGAAACTCCTCCTGTTAAACAAGGTTAATAAGCTTTTCCTGACTACTGTCAGGGCCTGGGGACCATCTGCTGGGCAATGTGGCCTAGCCATCAACACCAGGCCCAATGCACCAGCTAGCCTAGCCGTTGATAAGTATGGTCCCCATAATCAATACAGGGCAAATACTTGGTTTAGTTCTATAAAAAGTTCCTGATGAGACCTGAGGGAGGTAGTAACTATATCTGTAGAGTTTGGGGTATGGAAACAGAGTGTGATACAAGACTGATCTAATATGAAGGACAGAAAGAAGGGAAAGGAATGTGGAATAAAATTAAGTATAAATGGATTAAATGCCTGTGTTAGAAGACATAGGGGTAAGCACTAGGCACAGTTGTGAAGATGTTATCTTGGATGCCTGCGTCCCCTATTAGAGTGCCTGGGTTTGAGTCCTGTCTCTACTACTGATTCCAGATTCCTGATGATCACTCTGGGAAGCAGCAAGTGATGGTTCCAGTGGATGGGGCCCTGCCACCCATGTGGGAGACTGAGATTTGAGTTCCAGGCTCCCACTTTGGCCAGACCCTGTCTTGGCTATTGCAGGCCAGAGGCTAGAAGATTTCTCTTGTTCTCTCCGTCTCTGTCTCTGACTTTCAAATAAAATGCACATAAATGAGTAAAAATTTTTAAAGAAAAGGTATGGTCTAGGCATGGGAGTTTGGTGTGGCAATTAAGTCATCACTTGAGATATCTATATCCTATCAGCATCCCTGGGTTTGAGCCCAGGCTCGTATCTCAATTCCAGATTCCCACTGATTAACACTGGGGCTAACAGATGATGGTTCATGTACTTGAGTTGCTGGCACCCACATGAGAGACCCAGACTGAGTTCTAGGCCCCTGGCTTCAACCTTGTCCAACACTGGCTATTCCAAGCATTTAGGGACTGAACCAGCAGATGAAAAAATCTCTGTCTCTATATCTCTTTCTCTGAAGTAGAAGTAGGCTTTACCTTTACAGATTTTTTTGGTATAATGCTCTGGTATAACACCTTTTTCTTTGGTATAATGCTTTGGTATAACACCTTTCCACCTTAAAAATACCTTAAAAACTATTACTTTCTTCTAACAATTTTATGATGTTTACTGTTAAAATCTTTGATCAACATGAATATGATAAACAGAATATATACATGAGTACATATACATATGCACACATATATGTATATACATTGGGGAATGAACATTCTAACACCATTTATTAAGTAAGAAATAATGACAGATTTGAAATGCAGGCCCTATTGTATTCTAAACTTTGTGTATTCACATATACTCCTCAATTGTTACTTTGTCTCAGTGATCTGTCTATTCATTTACCAAATTATTTAGGTACAGTTAGAATACACTTTAATATCCCATAGGTCTCTACCTCCCTAAGAGTTCTTCTTTAAAATTAATGTAGTAAATCTTACAGTTCTCTAGATAAAGGTCAGCACAATTTCTCAAGTATTCTTTGACCCCTACTGAAGGAAGTTGCTATTAATTAAAATTCTGTTAAATTTCCACATTACTTTTTTTTTTTTTTTTTTTTGACAGGCAGAGTGGACAGTGAGAGAGAGAGAGAGAGAGAGAGAAAGGTCTTCCTTTGCCTTTGGTTCACCCTCCAATGGCCGCTGCGGCCGGTGCACCGCGCTGATCCGATGGCAGGAGCCAGGTACTTATCCTGGTCTCCTATGGGGTGCAGGGCCCAAGGACTTGGGCCATCCTCCACTGCACTCCCTGGCCATAGCAGAGAGCTGGCCTGGAAGAGGGGCAACCGGGACAGAATCCGGCGCCCCGACGGGGACTAGAACCCGGTGTGCCGGCGCCGCAAGGCGGAGGATTAGCCTAGTGAGCCCCGGCGCCGGCTTCCACATTACTTTTAAGGGAAATTTCATTGGCAGTGTCCAGCAATCAGTAAACATTCATCTTCTGAGATTCTATCTCTGGAAGCAGAGTGTTCTCCTGCCTTCACGGAGGATGAGTTGGGGAGAGGTCCTGAGGGTGTAGACCTGTAATTCTCAGAGTACACAGTCTCCATAGCTCTCCTTTTCTATATTTTTTCTGCAATGCATAACTTCCTCCTTTTTCCTAACCTTCATGTACAGAAAAAAAGTGTTATTGTTACCCTCCATTTATACGTAAGAATCTTGAAGCTATCTGTAAAGATGGACACTAAGCTAGGAAGCAATAAAGCAAGATTTGATCCCAGTTCATACTAATGCCAAAACCTGTGCCTTAAACTTGCAGAAATGACAATGAGACTCCAGAGACTGCTAACTGGATACTATCTATAAAAGAAAAGGACCTGTATATATACATTTTCAAACAAGAGAACTACAGGAACTGAAGCCACCAAGGTAAGCTTTACAAATCAATTTTTAAGCCAAAAATGTACTAGGTAATCCCAGATGCATCCAGGTAAAGTCACATAAAAGAATGTTAACAACCTAAAGGAAACACCCTGGAGAACCCCAAGGAAGTGAACACATTTATCAAATTCTCCTCATCCCAGTTTCCTTTGGGAGCAAAGTGCCCAGGCTGGGATTCAGGGTTGTGCTTCTGTCCAGAAACTAGACACAGAGGTGTTAAACAGTGAGGCAATTTCTATTGATCCCAAAGACCTGCAGGAGAACATGAGAATTGTGCATATTACATCTATAAAATAATATTCCCAAATGTAACCAATGAAAATTGATTCCCAAGAAAATATGAACAATGAGAATGCAAATAAATGTTTTCTATGAAGACCCCATGACTTTTTCTGTTCCCTCCACAGCCTTCATTTATATACTACCAAAACTGCACTTGGGTTTAGTATTCTATCAAATAGCTTGTGCAAACATTTTTATACAAGCCCTCTAACATCTAGTGGTTCCCCCAAAACTTTGATGTCCTGAAAAATCTAATTATTGCTGGTAACTTTAAAAGATCACAGTAATTTATTTTTGTCAAATGTGACTAAAGATTAATGGATACAATCAGGAATAATTTGGTAAAAACATATCAAATGCAGAGAAAGCAAAATTTGTTGTTAAGTGAAGCATCAAATATAATAAAAGAGCAAATTCCATGAATGAACAGCAACAATGCACAATTCATTAACCAAATGCCCATGATTATTTCACACTTCAGAAGGCCACTGATATGGCCAGAAATTGTAGTAAAAGGATAAATATAGATTACCTTCAGCATTTCTTTATATATTTTAATTATAAACACTACCCCCAGAGAGCTACCAGTATAATGAAAGTAATAAAATGTAAGGTATTCCAACCCCTTTTAAAAATCATAATCCTATATACATATATTAAGACATTCAATTCTGTTTTGACATTCAATATGCCAAGAGACATCAAAGGTGCACAATTTTCTTAGCTGTTACTATAAAATTACAAATCTGATCAGTATTCAGGCTCTAGAAACTCTTAACTACTCAAAATCATTAACATCTTCATCATCACTATCACTGCTTAGAATCACCTGCTAATGCACTAGTTAATGCCCTGACCACTACTGAATGCCCTTCACTGTACAAAGGAAAAAAGTATTTGTCCAATAAATATTAACAAACTGTAAGATCCTGCAGGGCAAGACCACACTTTAATAGTCTGCATATTCTCAGAGCTAGCTCAGGACTTGACTCAAAAATACTAATTTTTCACAAAGATTTATTTATTTATTTGAAAGGAAGAGTTACAGAGAGAAGGAGATACAGAAAGAGAGAAGGAGTATCCTCCATCTGCTTGTTCACTCCCTAAATGGCCGCAAGGGCCAGGCTGAAGCCAGCAGCCACAAGCTTCATTTCCATTATTTATCCACACACACTAGAGTTTCCCAAGCTGCAGTCCATATTTTATTGGAAGAGATGTTTTTAGAGCTACATGGCCCCAAAACTATTATTTTTATACATTATTTCATTTTCTACCCTTGATTGACATACATGTGATATTAGCTGATATACAAATATTTGTACTTCAAATAAACATATTTACTATGTGTTAGAAATGTAACTATAACATGACATCAATGAATTTGCAGGGATATAAAGTTTTCTTTTTACAACAATTCATGAAAGTGAAAACAAGTTATATTTTAAAAATTGTGCAAGGCTGTTTCATTAGAGTTGTGAAGGAATTTCCAAAGGATGGACTATTAGGAAACACAGACATGAGACTCCAGTAGCGCAAACTGCAGACTGTGTGTTTAAGCTGCCAAGAGGACGAAGCCTTGGTCTGTGTCACGCCCCTGCACACCAGCGCTTACCTCGAGTAACAGCATCTAGTGCACAGCCACTGCCTGTTGCTCCTCCTCCAATAACAAGGATATCAAATTCAGGCGTGTTTTGCAGAGTCAGTAGCTGAGCTTCTCTGGAAGGAGGCTCCCGGTTGACAGGTTCTGTAAAGCACTCGGCTGCTTCTACATAAGCCAGGTTCACCTGAGATAAAAGTAGACCATTTTCAGTTGTTCGTGTGGGACACCAATTCAGGAAATTTTATGATAGAACTCTACAGAGAGATTTGTAGTAGAGACAAGGAATATCAGAACTAGACCCCAGACCACAAGAGGTATTGAGATCTTATGTGGGAAGAGATGTGGTGGGAGAGAGGCAGCACTGATCTGTCATCCCCCACCCCGTCCCCTTTTTTGTGAGTGGCAACTATTTAGCCAGAGAACATCTAGTTTCAGATTCAACATCTCAACTTTTGGTTAAATATACAGCAAAGTTCAATTAGTCCCAGCCAACTTTATCTATGACTTGCCTTATCTAAGACAATTTAGAGGGAAACATAAGGAAATATTTTTAACCAGTAGAAGTAACTCATTGAGATAACATTTAAAAGTACTGAAAGGAGGAGGGAAAAGTACTTTAATATCTTTCTGCAATTCTTTAAAAGTCTATGTTTCTCATTCCTGTGAATTCTCTGGCAAAAAAAAAAAAAGCAAAAAAAAAAAGAAACCATATTCCAGAGTTTAGTGTCCATGAGCTCACAAAAGTACAACTAAACAGAATCTGCTTGACAAGAGTAAACATCTAGTCTGATTTAACCAGCTATAACAAATGGGAATATTTTCAAAGATTTATTTTAGAGGCTTCTTTATTATATATTTTAATATAAAATTTAAAAGTTTATAAATTTATTATATACTACTTTGATTTTTGAAAACTTCAGTATGAATATAATAAAGCAAGCATATTATCCCCTTAAAGGATAATGACCTTCTTTATGTCCAATTCTTTTATAGACTGTAACTTATCACCCTAAATAAAAAATGTATATCTTTAAAACAAAAGTAGTTGCCAGAAATTGGAGTCAGAATCCCAAAATACAAGTATTTTTCCCCCAAAATATTAATACAAAATGCATTCACTATACTGAACAGTGCTGGCCAATGTTGCTCTGTTATTAATCTATGAATAGAAGACTTCTATTTTCTTTTCTCTAAATCACAGCATCAGTACAATCCTTAATGGTGGTGTTTTCCCATTCTGCCATGAGGGCCACATATGAACTTCTAAACCACCGGCTGAAGTTTATTTAAGAAGTAATCTTAGCTCTTACCAAAACATGATTCTGATCATTCAAGCAATTTTTAATTCATTTAAATGAAATAAACTAAACTACTTCTTATAATTGGGTTTAATTACTAGTGGACGGGCCGATGCTGTGGCGCAGCAGGTTAATGCCCTGGCCTGAAGTGCTGGCATCCCATGTGGGTGCCGGTTCGAGTCCCAGCTGCTCCACTTCCAATCTAGCTCTCTGCTATGGCTGGGAAGGCAGTGGAGGATGGCCCAAGTCCTTGAGCCCCTGTGCCCACATTGGGGACCCAGAAGAAGCTCCTGGCTCCTGGCTTCAGATCAACACAGCTCTGGCCATTGCGGCCAATTGGGGAGTGAACCATCAGACAGAAGACCTCTCTCTCTCTCTCTCTCTCTCTCTCTGCCTCTCTTCTCTCTGTGTAACTCTGACTTTCAATTAAATAAATAAATCTTTAAAAAAATTACTATTGGACCAATTGGATTTGATGAAAATAAATCTAGAAGCCATAGGGTGCACTGAAACAACCCTGGATTAGGGGCAGAAGGCTCTAGCTTGGACCTAAGCATCCTCAAGGACCAGCATCATGACTTCTCTCTAGGCCCTGGGTGCTTCATTTATAAAAGGAGAACGAAACCCTGGTGATGATTGTATCAATGCACCCCTAGGTTATCCTGGAACTGAATGGAATAATGAAAGACACTGGTAAACTACAAAGTACTGCCAGAGTTGTCATTGTTGTTGTTGCTGTAACACAATTTAATTCTTTGGTAGCAAATAACAAGGATCTTTCCCAAAATATATTTCAAGTGTCACAAAAATGAAAGGTTATAATCAGGCAGCATAATTTTTCAGGCTATTAACTCAGATTCCAAACTACAAAAGTACTATTTGCCATATAATTCTTCCTAATTATCTGCTAATAACTACTTCCTCATGCTTACTTTTACATAGATTTAAGGCAACCACATGATTATAACAACTGGGTGGTGTGCAGAACATAGCATCTTTCAGTTATGGTCTGCTTTGCATCACATAATGAGAACAAGAAAAAGAATACACACACAGACACACACACAGGGGTACTTCAAAAAGTTTGTGGAAAACAGAATTAAAAGCTAAGCCTATTTTGGTACAAAAGAAGTTTCAACTCCACGCATAGTTTTTTTCATAATATGCATTTCCTATGAACTTTTTGAAGACCTCACGCATGCATGGATTTCAAAATATTTTTGCACCAAAATAAATTTATCTTTTAATTCCGTTTTCCAAGAACTTCAAAAATACATACATAACAAGTATACAGAAAGAGCAAATGCCAAAATAGAGGATGGAAAAAAAGCGACCAGGCTATGACCATTCAGATGGGGAGGGACAGTCTTTCATTTGAGGGTTTCAATCGCGCCATGACAGATGGGTAGGACTTGGACATGAGAATGACAAGTGACTAAACTGCCAGAGCATTTTCACACATCAGAAGAATTGCTGACATTTTCTGCTTGGTAAGTTTTCTAGAAATACTTCAGAAATAAGTTTAAAGACCATACTATGATACAGTTCATTAGAACTTGGTAATACTAAAATCTCCCTGTTCTATACTCTGAAGATTAAGCTCAACTGTTTGAATTTCTCCTTGGGCATCACTTGTAGGTGTAGGCTACACTGTTTTTCCTATCTCTCTTGCCTCAACCTTCACTCTAGTATGTCCCAATGTATTCTGTCTTAAACAACCACAACAAAAGGGAATACCTCTTATGAGGCAGGCATTTAGACTAGTGGAGTGCCTGGGTTCAATTCCCAGCTCTGCAGCTGATTCTAACTTCTTGACGCAGACCTGGAATGCAGTAGTGATAGCTCAAGTAATTGGGTTCCTGCCACCCATGTGAGAGACCTGGATTGCATCCTTGGCTCCTAGCTCTGGCCTCAGATCAGTCCTAGCCACTGCAGGCATTTGAGGAGTAACCAGCAAATGGAAGAACTTGTATACTCTCTTTCTCTCTCTCTTCCCTTGCCTCTCTGTCTCTCAAATATATATATTTCTTTTTTCTTTTTTTTTTCTTATTTTTTTTTGACAGGCAGAGTGGACAGTGAGAGAGAGACAGAGAGAAAGGTCTTCCTTTGCCGTTGGTTCACCCGCCAATGGCCACTGCGGCTGGCGCGCTGCGGCTGGCGCACCGCGCTGATCCAATGGCAGGAGCCAGGTACTTTTCCTGGTCTCCCATGAGGTGCAGGGCCCAAGCACTTGGGCCATCCTCCACTGCACTCCCTGGCCACAGCAGAGAGCTGGCCTGGAAGAGGGCAACCGGGACAGAATCCAGCGCCCCAACCAGGACTAGAATCCGGTGTGCCGGCGCTGCAAGGCGGAGGATTAGCCTAGTGAGCCGCGGCGCCGGCCCAAATATATATATTTCTAACAACCATCCTAAAAATTCATGAAAGACTTGTGTGTATACGCATCCTTTTCCTACTGCCTTACTCCTTACTATTACTCATTCTAATCTGGATTTTCACATACACAACCACCACCACCACCACCAAAACTGAACTGATGTCTACTATGCTACTAAGTCCAACAAGCACACAACTGACTGTTCACCCACCTTGGCATTTAGGGAACAGCACTCTTGTGCTTGTTCTAGCTCTCTCCACTGAAAAATTCTGAGCTTCCTTTGGTTGTCTCTCTACTGCCCAGCATTAGGCTCCAAGATTCCTCCTCAGTCTGTCCTAGTCACTCTTCTCAGATCAATAAGAACTATCTCTATTTTATATCTCATCTCATATATGCCATACTGTCCAATATTCTTCGTATCAGACTGACCTCTAACTTTGCTCCTCCATTTTGGAATTCAGATATTAAACTACCTAACTGGCACCACCACTTGAATGTTTCATATATGTCTCTCAAAATTAATCTCATGACTGCAACTCCTCAAACCATTTTCTCTGTTAGTATTCCTTATCTCAGGACAGATGCCACTGCACATACAGGTGCTTGTGCCAGAAATTTTGGGAGCATCCTCCACAGCTCCCTTTCTCTTAAATCCCATATTTGATATACCTGATCAATCACTCGTTCCAATCACTAGATATCCTATAAAATTCTCATATCTGGTCACTCCTTTATCATCACTGCCACCTTTCAAGCCAAGGTATTCTCCCTCTCCCCTGCACTAACATGACATCCTTCCCAAGATCTACGCTCATTACACAGCCTCCTTCCCAGTCATTCTCCATACTGAAGCTGCAGTAATCTCTGCAAAATCCAAATCATGTCATTCCCATGTGTAAAACCCTTTAAGAGCCGGCGCCGTGTCTCACTAGGCTAATCCTCCGCCTTGCAGCGCCGGCACACAGGGTTCTAGTCCCGGTCAGGGCACCGGATTCTGTCCCAGTTGCCCCTCTTCCAGGCCAGCTCTCTGCTGTGGCCAGGGAGTGCAGTGGAGGATGGCCCAAGTACTTGGGCCCTGCACCCCATGGGAGACCAGGATAAGTACCTGGCTCCTGCCATTGGATCAGCGCGGTGCGCCGGCAGCAGTGCTCCGGCTGCGGCGGCCATTGGAGGGTGAACCAACGGCAAAGGAAGACCTTTCTCTCTGTCTCTCTCTCTCACTGTCCACTCTGCCTGTCAAAAAAAAAAAAAAAAAAAAAAAAAACAAAACAAAAAAAACCCTTCGAGTGGGAAAGGGGAGGGTTGTGGGTGGGAGGGACGGTATGGGGGGGAAGCCATTGTAATCCATAAGTCGTACTTTGGAAAATTATATGCATATTATATGCATTAAATAAAAGTTTAAAAAAAAAAAAAAACCTTCAAGAGCTTCCAGCTTAATTTCAGCTAAAGGTAAACAGCTTTATTTGGGCTTCCAAAGCACTTTATATTCATTTCAAGTGTATAATTTTT